TTTTTTTTACATAACTACACCGTTCTCTATTGACACACAATTAAAGTAGATCTTTTAAGATCAAATATTAAAAGTTGATTTTATGATTGCATAATATTTCATTTAGTTTTTTAAAAATAAAAACACGAAGACACTGTTCACTAATGAATAATGATCATTTAAATCTTGATTTTTATTTTCAGTAAATAGCAAAATGTAATACTGTGATTTTTATAAAACCACTTAGCTCAATAYACAATTTATTAAACATTATAATATATAGAATATAGATACGTCATGCGTTATATATACAAATCAAAATTATTTATGATAAACGAAGTATTTTTAAGCGAATTTTATTATWAAAGATTTTTCAATGATCGAATGTTATACTCAACATTTAATATCTCTAAAAGATTATTGATGAGTAATGAGAAAAAGCAAATATTATATTTAAAAGAAAATCTAAGAAAATAAAAATGCCTCAAGCAGCCAAACAGGGAAAGCGATAGACGGAAATAGACCTTTAAAATTTGAGACGTCATCACGAAGATTAGCCAACAAACTGAACAAACCTACTGTGTATATAGCCGCTGGTCATTTATACAAAAATATTTTTTTTATTAAAAAAATAACTTTGAGTACTCTTTGACCAAATTGTAAGCATCACAGTTCATTAAATTTCAAATATGAACTAGTATAATATCATACAATACTTTATATTATGATCTACGGATAATTCGAATGTGATCGATAATCTACAAATAATATATATAATATATATATACAAACTTATCTACCGACGTTTAAAAATATATTATTTTTATTTTTATATTGAATTATGGTTTTTAGCAAGATAAAAGATTTATAAAAAATATAATGTTTTCATCAATCGGATAATCACGTTCAGAGCGGTGGCAAAATCGAAACCTGCGTTTTGTTTATTTGCATCAGTAATCTATTCAGTAATACCGACGATACCTACTTGTATTTGTTGGAGTAGGCGTATGATTTTATATATAAATAAAAAAAAAAAACGATTAAAAATCGTCTGGTYGAATCTCGAACGTCAATAAAATACGCATACAAATATTTAAAAAATATTACAAATGCTTTTCGCCGGCAGTTAGGTAATGATATTATAAATAAAATAATTTCAACTCRGAATCGAACATAGATATCTACATTAATTAAAAATAATAATATAAGCCGTATTTATATGAAATAACTGCAGATTTAGCTATACGATTAAAGGAGATATCGTATTATTATACGCCTTAGTATTTTTTTCATATATTATAATTTACGATCATTGTAAAACTCAATATTTATAAATTGTATAAGTATATCATTCAGTAAAAAATAAACAAAAACAATTTTTACGTGTAAACTGTTGCATTTTATCAAATGTATTTTTAATGTTGAAAGAAAACAACCGAATATGTACAGTGATTATTAAYTTTTCAATAACCGGTATTTATAGTCGGTATTGAAAAATTCACCAGGATGCAAAAACTGATTAAAAATATGAGATATGCACATATAATAATATAATATACCTGTGCACAAAATTTTCTCTAGTTTAAAGTATATACATAAGTATGTTATCCGTAACCAATTAAGACAATTTCCTGTTTTCAAGTGTACATAACAGAATATTGAATTACTATACGSAAGGAGAGTCGTTTGATTGAACTTTTTTAATTTACAACAATATTTTAAAATCGATCCGTATTTCTTCGTTAGATAATTAAATATTAAATTGGCTCTTATATGGAAATCCAGATCAAACGTAAATATAATAACAACATAATAACTGATACATGCGCTTCATTGTGGCCCAAATCGCAAGGGTGCTCAGCACCCATCCACAAAACCCTACGTTTTAATGCTAACACCCAGGATCTCGTGATCGTCTTAAATAATAATTAAAATCCTTGGACACGTACCATAATGGGTCAAGAAAGACCTATCGGACGTATAATATATACATGCACCAAAARAGATGTAGTAGTGCCTATAAAGATTAAACCGTTTTTATCAACAATTATTAATTTATAAATTTATAATTTACTTTATTAACAGAAATTTCAAACGTAACGGTTCGGTATTTGCCGAGTTTGAACGGCTATGTAGCTCACACGTCTGATTCCTCAAAAATCCATATGGCAATTAAGCCTCCTTTTTTGGGCGAATTCACCTATGATTCGTTAACTGTATATACATCGGTTGGAGGTAACTACTCATACACGTGGAAAATCAGACGGAATTATTGTAAACACATACATAATTATAACATAATAATATGTATGTCATATGTGACTAACCTATCGATGGGCCGGGGCGGTGGCGGCACGAAAGACACGGTGGACATTTGCTGGAGTTCCATGACCGTGGCCCTGCCGCCACTGCCGCCGCCGTTGATGCCAAAGGCCGAAGCCGAGGATGACTGTTTTTTCGTTGCTCCGTACAGCTGTCGGTAATATTTTTCCTGATCTCCGTACATCCAACACACTTTCCACCATTGGCGGCACATCAACACGTTCAACGACGGCGTCTTGTTGGTGGCCGTCGCGGTCGCGGTGACGGACGACGAGGATGCGACCGTCGCGGCGGCCTCGGTGGTAGTGGTGGTCATCGTCACTTCGCGGTAAACCGAGACGCCCATCACGCGCGGAAGAAAAAAACGGAACGACCGGCCGAAAAATCACCCGGTGGCCACGGATCGGAAAATATGTAAAAAAAAAAAAACGTTTGGGCTCTGACCGCGGATGTAGTCGTAATAGTGGTGCACAAGGTATAACGAACGTGCGCGCGCCCGCGCACTTCACGCGCCGGAAAACGGCGAAGACGAATCGACGGCGAGACAACCCGTTGCAGTGTTCTGCAGGCTACCGGTCGGTCTCGGACACTGGTCCGCCTCGCCGCCACCGAGCACGGTCGCCGCCGCGGCCGACGACGACAGTCGCCTTGCAGCCAACACCGCGCCGCCCGCCTCCTCGTCGGCCGGTCTCGAGCCGCACACGGTTCGCCGTCGGTGTGGTGTCGGTAGAGGGGTGGGGAGAAGACCGRCGGCGACTCGGCGGCCTACAATCGTCGTATCCTTTTTCCTTACGACTACCTATATGTGGTGAGTGTGTAAGAGTGTGTGTATGCGTTATTATACCGGGTGATYCATTTGACGTAAGACACTCTTAAATAGTGTTTTTTTAAATATTAATTGTCTTCAAAATGTGTATCATTTTAAGCCGTCGAAAAACAACATAAAAAAAAAGTTATATGTATTTTTTAAATTTTACTTTTGTTAATCGAGACAAGCATTTTCGATTCCTTGTTTCGAAACAGTACATTTTTTGAAGTTTTTCCAAGCATTAAAACTGAATTCTCGAGTTTTAAGTACCTATCTAAAGTTTAAACGAGTGAAGCTGAGTAGTTCCGGGTGGCCGGGAGGGTATTCCCMAAAATACAGTTGGTCCACTACGTACTACTCCGTTCCTCGAAACTTTAGTATCACTTACRTAAAAGTWACAACCGATAAACTTACTGTCTGTCCGAATTTGAATTTTATAGATCGAAACACTTTAAATGYAGTATTCTTCTTTGGAATATGAAATTAATAATGTACGTTGTCATTCAAAAGGGAGAATGACTAACAGACAGAAATCAATCTTTTTTTGGAAAATKTTAACGACTTAATATTATCATCTAAACAAAATRTTATGAAAAACGTTGGAGTTTTCTAAAATAATGTGTGATGTCTTACGTTAAATGAACCACCCCGTATAATGTAGTTAGTGTAGTTTGACGGCAGTAAAATTAGACGGTCCGTCTTATATACACGTGTAGGTACCCGGGCGCGTGTGCGTGTGGGTCGCGTGTTTTATAATAACGTTATATTATATGAAGTGGTGGTGCGCGAGTCTCCTCGGGGCTAAATGTGAGAATATTCAGGTATTATTTTTTTTCTCTTCGGTCCTTTTTTTCTCTACTTTAATACGTTTTTTCATCCTTTTTACCATCGACGACGGATTTCATACCTACAGCAACTACAAAAACAACAATATGCAGTCCATCTTTCAGTGCATGTTATACAAAAAATGCCACACAAACACACTACTACGCGTACAAGTATATAGATGCTTAGTTATTCATTCATTTTTATTTGTTTATCAAGTTTTAAGGTCCAATTTCATAAATTAGTTAATAACAACAAACGTTTTTAAACTGTAATAGAATTTTTACAATAATTCATTTGCGCACAAGTTACGAAATAAATAACAAATACTATTTACATCATTGTCAAGTATAAAATCATAATACTTTTTTTTACAAGTCAACGTTTGCAGGCGAGATGAACAAATTTATTTTTAATTTATTTATGGTTTCATCCTTATTCTATTTCACGGTTAGGTCGCCAAATTCGTTAAGAAATCTAAGCTTAAGAAACTGAACAGTCGATGTTCCCTACGATAAGTCTATTTAGAAACTATAAATTTGATCGCAAACAACGTGGTTTTTGCAGTGCAGTTTTGAGGTTCAAAACAGATATAACTGATACAAGGGGAAAGTACGAACACTGTGTACGGAACGTTTAAACGAATAGTAAGAATTTTCGCTGAATTTTTTTACAATTTAAGACCCGATGATTGGTATGGAGACCATAGTATAACATATTATTATGATTGAGCCATAYTCAGTAATTCGACGTACCAAAWAATTATATTTCATTATACAACAATAGGAGCTGGGCATATCATAATACCGTGATGATACCGCTGTAGGGTGCAGCAGGTATATACATTCCGTGTATTAAACTCAAAGATATGTGATACCTGTGTAAGATCGWGAGTCTGGTTCCGAAGGACGGGGCTACGCGGCGCTGATCTCGGGGTAGATTCTGTGTCGAGTAACGAGCGACGGACGGGGTGGTGACGTGGATCTAGGGTTGGCGCGCAGTGGTTCTCAAAACAAGACTCTGCGCCGTATAGTTTGCGTTTTATGACGGTTTAATATTATTATATTTTTTGTTGTAACACGGTGGACGATGACATCGAGTGTATACAATAACATCGCCGTCGTTGGGTCGTCCGGTCCGGACACGTTCCACGAGGAATTTTTCGGGCGAGACGTTCCGGCGATAATTCGACTATACGCGGTATTATAACTACCAGTGCAAAATCGACCGTTCCCCGTTCATAATTCGGTAAAATTAACCGACTCGGCGTAATTGGAATGCCGTCTTAACAAGTCGTAATGCCATTTCAATTAAGGCGACGACGTGAGGTCCAGACGACGGCTCGTGCACCACGGCCGTATTTTCACAATGGAGATTTTYGTCGGAGACGTGACAAATATCCTATTACGAAACGATGTTCCGCCTAAAACGCGTCCGCCGCATTATAATACAATTTCGTGCGACGTAATTAACGTTTTGTACGGTGACATGCACGGATTTACGACTGCATCGGTGATGATAATAATTATATTATTTACACCACATATTATAATGATTTTCCCACTTCTACGCCACCGTCAATAATATTATTTTTATGAGTATATTTTCATACAGAAAAGTACTGCGAACAAATATAATTTATTACTTCCCGACGGTTTTTCTTACATTATAATAATTAATGTACAATATTATTAATATTAAARTTATACGCCAATCAGGCCAATGCCAATATAATATTATTATGATCTATATATAAGCACTATATTCATGTAATAAAACTTAAGAGTTTGTATAGGTATTATGTTTGGACGTGACAATCTCAGAATCTATACTGAACCAATTACAATACACTTAAAGAGATCCATGAGACTCGGGAGATGCTTTTAACTTATTTTTTCCACCCCTCCAGGTTGGTATAGTGGGGTTTATGCATGAATTTCGTTTTCGAAAATCGAATAATAAAATTTATTGAATGTACATATAAAGAGTTTCCATTGATTATAGAAATAAGCTTGAAGTAAACAAATTGATACCTATTTAGACACTAACTGATTTGCCATGCATTGTTATAGGATTTATTAAAATTAAATATTATTAAATTTATTATTATTTTCATTCAAACATACAACAAAAGTAAAATTTCCAAATGTTTGTAATTTATATACTCAAATACTATTTGAACAGTTTCSACGAAAATTTCAGAGATTGTTCTTAGAGGTATTAAGAAAGTTTAGAGAGTAGTTTAAACTACGTTTGGAAATCATGTGGCAATCCGCAACGGTTGAATTGTTCATCATCTCGGTCGAATTATTTCACAAAGTGAGATGCACCTATGCTGAGTTTCCTGTGAATTGAGGTACACTAAAACCGAGATACATCGATATAGTGCAGTATTTTTTTATGGTTGTTCATTCTTTTCCGGCCAAAGTCAGGTTTAAAACTAACAATTAACATAAATATATGGTATCAGTAATTATTGATAATTTTAATCTTACCAACATCTTTCTATTATATCAACTACACAAATTTGTATATAATATTATAGTATATTATATAAGTAATATGTATTTATTTAAATCAAAATTGTTGTTATATGTGAGAAAAAAGTATTGCAATTATTTATATACCGCAGATATTGCATATTATGTACAAATATAATCGTTATTTATTATAGATACCTCTATCGTTTCTATTTAGGGATAATGGTGATCAACGATAATTCAATTTCAAAATCTATGTAAAGCAACGTAATAGCATAACAGAAATTATTAGAGGTAATCTATATTATACTAATTTTATATTTTATTCCTAAGATTTAATTCTCGGTTTACTCATTCAAACTTAATAATGTTGTTCATAGTTTGAATTTACAAAACCTTACTATATGCATAAAGAAAATAAATTGCAATTTAATTAATAATAATGTAGTATCTCGATGCAAAAGTTAAAAATGTAGAAAATAAGTAAAACTCTATTTTATATCTGCTAGATTTAACTTTTTACGTAGAAATTATAATGTTAGTAATATTTAATTAACAAGTTGAGCGACAGTTTTGGCTCTAAATAAATGTTGATGACTGCCAACAATGGTTTTAAAATTTTATTTTACATTGCCATGGAGTATAAAATTGAAATATATTTTAGCTATTTTATGGTTATATTTAAATATACCTTGAAATAATAATAATTATAGGTTTTCGTTATTTATACCAAAAGACAATGCAAAATCTGTAAATAATAAATATAATGGTATGAAACCAATAAATGAGAACCAAGGGACAAATGAATCCAAAATATGGTTCTCATGACAATGTAAAATAATTCACTGAGAACCAAATTTAGGTCTCACGGCAATATTGTAAAAACTTTAAAACCCACATGGCACTCTATACCTTGAAATGTGTTCATTAAAAGTGCAAATTTAGAATATACAAGATGCATGATAAAAGTAAACGTATAGAAAAATATTTTTAAGTTTTATAATAGACATATAATATTGTATAATACAACAATTTATTCATTTATTACATGATTATTTTTAAAAATATTTTTATACTTTTACTAAACATTTCACTACCTACTTTACTTTTTATACATATTATTAAATGCATATTTGTACTTAATTTTTTATGATACTAAAATCGTAATATAATTTAAATAATATGTCTAAATTAATGTCTTATAGTTTGGGAAAAGCATTAACATTATTTTAAATTTAGATAAACATATATATTATATATGTGCGAGTTAAAAATATTCAAAGTAATAAAATATTTCTTAAAAGTCCTTTTATTACCTTAAAACACTATTAAAATATTTAGCTTCCTAAAATTTGAAAAATATGCAATTAAATGTATATATAAAAAAAGATTTTGTATTATTTGTATTTCAATATCAAATAAAAATTATTATTTTACATTATATCACACAGTGCCGAAATCACAATTTTGATGTGATGGTGCAAAAA